ACTACTTTTACACACAAAAGTAATCACTATAGAAGGGAGGAGGCCTGTGGATGATGTGCGTGTTTACTCTTGTGAGCAAGAGTAATTACTATGAAGGGGTATCATACGTAATATAAATAGATTTTTATCATTTTAGGGTGAGAGCTTTTTGCCACTTGAGATTTTTTCTGTTTTGAAACACTTTTGCAGAGTTAGGTCAGCTTTGGGTGACAGCCAAGGCCACATCCTAAGGTTTGATTTTCCATTTCTTCTTACATTTCCTTTAATTTTTACTTTGATGTCGTTGATTTTTCTCAATTCCCCTCTTGTAATGGTGAGACCATCCTTATAAAGGGCTAATTTTCTTATAATTCCTAGTGAGTTCATATGGATTCTTGAATTCCTGAGCCTTTAATGTTATTATAAACTCATTTTCTCATGAATTTCTTCTTTCTCCAATCTTTTGAACTTAGTTAAGAGTTAAATGAGAGAGTGTTGCTTAATCAACTTTAAATTCATTTTTAACAAAGGTTCTAAACTTGGTTTGCTTAATTTCAGGTTTAATTCTAAGGTTGCTTAACCCTAAGAATTAAAGATTGGAACCCATTGATTTGCTTAATTTCGTATGAAAATTTAAGGTTAATTTTTGCTTATTAAATTGACCTAATTTAGGAAAAAGGTAGAGTATTAAATCTTAAGAGGAATTGAGATAAAATCTATATAAACAAACTAGGGGTTACTATATTCTATTAATTGAACTTTACAATTTGATTTTCTGATTTAGTAATTAGCATTTGGAGCTACAAAACCTCCTTTTTTACTTGTTTCCTGAGTTAATGTTTACGTGTTTGATGTATGTTCTCATCCAATGTCACTAGAGACAACCTACGCTTACATCCTAAACTACATTAATTTTTCTGCATATTTTGATGAGGGTTGCGACGAACTATTTCGTATCATCATAGAATAGTGATGACATCCCAAGTTTTATTCATCATCAGTGCCTCAATTTTAGAATCCATAGTTATTCGCCATTGTTCGTGTTTGATAGCTTCCTGGTAACTTGTGGGTTCGATTTCTTATGACAAGGCCATGAGGTACTTGCAATGAGGGGAGATTCGAGTGTAGGAGAAGGAAGCTTGAATTGGATAAAAGCATGTTGAGGATGATTACATAGACCTTTAAGAGAGAAGATAACAACGGTAATCGTCAAGAAAGAGGGTGGATGGTTGGGTCTGGTTGAACGTCGTAAAGGATGTTCCTCTTGCGGTGGTGATTTGGTTTGGGGTGAACGTGTCGAAGGAGGAGTCATGAGTGTCTTGTGAGTTAGGGATTTCGTGGTTGGGTGAAAAGTGTGAAGGGAAATTTGGTAAAGGTGATGAAGGTGTGAGATCCGTATTGGGCTCAAGGTGGTGTGGATAGACAGGGATATTTTGTATGAAGGGAAGTTCGTATATGGGCTTTGTGCTGGTTTGTGGGCTCATGGGAGATGATTTGGAATAAGGAAATTGCATTTCATCAAATATCACATTCCTAGAAATAAATATTTGTTTGGTATTTATATCTAGGATCACATACCCCTTTATACCATTTTCAAAACCCAAGAAAACACCTTTGCGAGATCTTGCTTTAAATTTGTGGTGGTGATTATCCATAGAGGCAAAATAACAACCAAAAACTTTAATCATGAAAAAATTTAGTTTTTGGTTATAGAGAAGCTCAAAAGGGGTTTTATTATTTATAATAAGAGAGGGAACACGATTAATTAGAAAAATAGCAAGTTTGATTTCATAGGACCAAAAATTATTTGGAATTTTTTATTGGAACATAAGATCCCTAGCAACATTTAGAATATGTTGGTGTTTCCGTTCAACTCTCCCATTTTGTTGAGGGGTATAAACACAACTTGTTTGGTGAATTATCCCCTTTGAAGGAAAAAAAAATCTTTTAAAAGGAACTCGAGGCCTTTATCAGATCAAATACAATTGATTGAAGTTTCAAATTGATTTTCTATTAAAGCAACAAAGTTTTGTATATAGGTTTTAACTTCTGCCTTTGATTTGAGCAAGACTATCCAAGTGTATCTACTATAGTCATCAAGAATGGTTAAGAAATATTTGTAACCATGAATTGATTCCTTAGAATAACGTCCCCAAATATTCATATGAATGAGATCAAATATTTTAAAGCTTCGATTTGTACTAATAGGATAAGGTAATTTTCTTTGTTTTGCTAAATGACACACAACACATGTTTCATCAAAATGTTTGGAAATAAAAGGGTATTGATCATATAAAGTATCAAGACAATTTCTAAATAAATGTCCTAATCTAAAATGTCAAAGGTTGGAGTTGGTAACGTTTGTGATGCAATGAAGGTTGGAAGTTTGTTGTATTTTCTTGTTAATTATCAAGTGATATAATCCCTCCATTAGTCTAACCAAATCAATCATCTTCAACGTGTTGGCTTCCTAGATATCACAAGAATTTTCAAAAAAAAAGTTATGATATATTGAGAGGTGGAAATTAATTTTGAAATGGATAAAAGGTTGAAGGTAAAATAAAGCACATACAAAACATTGTGCAATATGAAATTAAGGGAAAAATGAATACTTCCAGCAATATAAGTTTTAACAAAGGAACCATTTGGTAAATTAATGGTCACAGGTTTAATGCTAGAATATGTGTGAAAATATTGCAAAGAAAAAATAATATGATCAGTGGCTCCAAAGTCAACTATCCAAGGTGCATTAAGAGATTTTATTGCATTAAGGAAGTGTGTGGTGCAAGTAGAAAAAATGAAAAAGGTACTAAATATTGAGTCAGAAAAAAAAAATTGGACAGATAAGGAGGGGTTGGCCCTAATGGGCCTGTCATCTGAAGTCACACCACCCATGGAACCAGGAGGCCGCTAAAGGAGGACCATCAATTGTTGAAACTGGGCTTGAGTGATGTTTGGGCCGGATGGATGTACAGGGGCTTCCTTGTGGGTTTCTCCTTCGTGCCCTAGGCTTCTAGTTCTCTCAACGGCGGTGTTGTTCACAACACCTCCAAAACCAGAGTGTTGGTTCGTGTTGTTGATGCGAGGTCGACCTAGGTACTTAGGGTGACCGGGAGGATATCCATATTTTGCAAAATAGACGTCCATAGTGTGTTCGAAGCGCCCGCAGTGGTCGCATTTAGGGGCTGAGATGCCATTCTTTTGATAGCAAGCTTCAGTAGTGTTTCCAGTGTATCTGCAGTGCTCACATTTCTTACCAGACTCAGTGGTTTTAGGTTCTCCTGACTGTGAAACATCACAGGCTTTGGCAGCAGTCACATTGATGAATGGATTTGAGTTAGTGGAAGTAGACGTTGTGTGTTGTCTCTCATATTGGATAATCATGGAGAAGATATGGTTGGCAGATGGTAGAGGGTCGAGAAGAAGGATCTGTGACCTTACCATAAAGAAGGTTCGCCCTTGAGAAATCAGATGATGAAGTCCTATTGATGAAATGTTTTTCCTAAGCATAAGGTCTTTGTTGAGCATAAGCATGGAGTCAGAGGACAAAAATTGTCCAATTATTCCCATGGAGTCTTCAAACTAGTGTAATAGTCAGTGACATTGTTTGAGCCTTGCTTCAAGGAGTAGATTTCCTCCTGGAGTTCAGCAACACGAAGCAAATATCCCTGAGAAAATCATTCATGGAGATCAGTCTATATGTCCATAGCATCTTCAAAGAAAATCACACTCTGAACAATAAAGGGTGAAACAGAGTTCAAAAGTCAGGACATGAGAAGTGTGTTGCACCTCTCCCAAATAGGATACAGAGAATCAAAGGGCAGTGGTTTGGTAATAGATCCTGTGAGAAAGCCCATTTTATTTTTTAATATAAGGGCCATTTGAACAGACCAGAACCATGATTGATAGTTGTATGCAGAAAAAGTACAAGTAACTATCACAGATGAAGGGCTTTCATTAGGGTGAATATAGAAAGTGCTAAATGGATTTTGTCTGGAGTTTGTAAACATAGGAGATGGAGTATCATTGTTCTTAGGTTCAGGAGACAAGGAGAAAAAGTATCATTGTTCTTAGGTACAGGAGACGCAGGGTCAGAGGCAGCCTATGGTACCATAAAAAGTATGTAGAGAAAGGAATAAAGTTGAGAACTTTCTCATATTTCTATGACAATGATTACAGTATATATATATATACAAAAAAGGACCTAAAAAAGACTTAGGTGGATAAAAAAGAATAAAAGCATATTCTTGTACTATGTACAACTCACACTATCAAAAAAGCATATAAAAACAAAAAAGGATTATATGTTGATGTGCTCTATATTATGTATTGTTTAGTTGGAATCATCGTGTGTTTCTTTTATTAATATTAGAGGGAAAAAACAAAAAGAAAGCATGTGTGTCTTATAAATTAGTTTCACTTATTATAATCCCTCATTTTTCCACTTGTAAACTCTAATTTAGAAACATTTATTAAATTAAAATAACTTAAAAACATAGGATTAAAAGGATTTTGAAAGGACAATACACTCCCTCTCATTTAACAACTCCTAATTAAATATAATTATCATATAAATTTTCTCATCTCCTCCAAAATCTAACTCCTGCACGAAACCTAAATTCAAAGCATTAAGTTTGGGTAAACAGAAATGGTTAAGGAATTGCCATCTGACTTTGCTACCTGCAAAACATCGAAACCACGCATTAAGACTGGCAGGGAATTTCGTTTGCAATTCATGACACCCAACATGATATAAAGGATCAACCAACTCGATGGAAAATGTCAAAAAGAGTTCGTGCTGGCACTGTCTATATCCCACAATTTTACGAAAACATGTTTGAGTGGTATTGGTTGAATGATAAATTTAAAATAAATAAAAGTTAAAAAAAGAAAAAAACACAAAATGCTTGACGGAAATCACGCGAGTTGTACATCGTGCAATTACGAATGAATTCGCACCATTTGTCATTCATTATCCATGCCAAAAATATTAAGATTCGTACTACGCTGAAAATCATACACTTAACACTAAACCTAATAATTGAGTCTCATTTCTTGCTTTTACCCGTTTTCTACCCAAAGTCACATAACTTCAACACTCGTAGTTTCATTTTTGAAACCATACTTAACGCCATTTAATCTTTCTAGCTACAGTCAAATTGGGAGAAAATGGACTACTAACAGAATTCGAATGGGAAAAGAATGATATAAAAATTCTAAAATAAATTATTGTGGTCATCCAAAAAAGAATACAATCAAATATGACTTCCAAATGCTACAAATTGAATGTGATTGTTCTCTCAACATTTTTCCTTGAATTACAGAAATTTTGAAGGGAGTTGTAATCAACTGTGCCAGAACCAGACAATCGGATGCCATATGAAGCAAGTCGGTTAATATCCCGTGGAATTGGGGATTGCCAAAGGCCGTCCCACCAAGCAGGAGGGAGAAGAGGTGTGAAAGCGCATTGATTGGCCTGGTGACGACAACTCAATGGTCCAGCATATCTGTTCCACACATGGCCCCAACCAATCTGATTCTTTAAGCCTTCAGTCAACAAATTACCCTGGAAACTGCTTAAAAATGAAAAACTTGAACCAGACGAGTTGTCTCCTGAAAAAAAAAAAACAATTTTCAGATGCTTCAGCAGTATCTTTGAAGGGACATTGTTTTATGATGAACAAGAACAAGTAATCAGAAGGATGAAGGTGGTGCAGGTACCCAGATTGTTTGCTGCAGCCAGTGCAGCAATTAATTGAGCATAGGTAGTTCCAACACGCCGATGAGCTCCAGAAACAACAGCAAATCTAGCACGAGAGGCAAGGAAAAAATCTACAAATGCAACCCATCTAGGTGCTGGACCCCAATCCTTCACTCTAAAATCTAACTTGGGCAAACCTTCAAAAATATTTCCTTTGAACTTTTCATAATCAAAATGAAGAACCTGGTAAAAGCACAGATGAGTAAGAATCAAAGGCACCTGAATTTTATTGCATTTATTCATGGTTGCCACAGTCACCATGCTCAGAAAGTAAGCAATAAAGACTAGACTACAAAGAAAATAAGTATTCAACAATCTGTTGATTACCTGCTCTAATTTCAGAACAGCAATTTCATAGTTACCAATAAACAACAATATTTAGTATTTAAGAGCAGTATATGTTGTACTCAAAAGATTCATACATTTGAATGCCAATTATTACCCAAGACGAACTAATAACTTACCTCTGCAAACTCGCTTATGTTGGCTGCAATACTTTTAACAAGAGAAGGCGTATCTGACACCACAACCACCTTTGGTCTTGATATTAGGTGCTGACTTTCTATAGCTTTTTTTATGCAACGTAACGCAGACTGTACAGCTCTAATGGACCTTAAGAAATGACAGAAATAGCATCAATCAGTTAAAGACCTCTTGTGAAAAGAATCCCATTCTCCCCCTCCTCCCAAAAAAAAAAAGTAAAAGTTAGAATGTTACACAGATATTTTGAGTCAAATATGCATGTATATACATGTGTTTTCCAAAGGATAAAAGATATCTATTTCAACAGCATATATACAGACAGGAATGGATACCGAAACTGATATTCTTTCCCTACTTAGCCATTTTATTGCGAGGCTGGGCTTTTCTTTTCATGCTTTTTGGTTCATATGTTATTTGTATGTACTGTTATCTTATGCCATCGAAGAGGCTAAATTATTTGACATTTTCAAAAGAAATGTGAGATGGCTGTTTGAAGGTCCAACTTAACACCCATGAGCCTACGCATAAAGTGATTAATATTTGATGTCCTTCTGACTTTTTCTTTTTAATTACCAGGTAGCTGAATGGGCACACACAAATCCATGGTGTCAAAAAGATAGAGATAATAGCAAGATCTAATGGAAACCAAGATTGCATTAAGTATGATATCTGACTTGGCAATATGTTGTTCGACTTGTTGGATGAGTTCTGTCTGGATTGGTTAACCTGTTTGAAGAGCAACTGAAAAACTACATTTAAGATTTTGATATCGCAAATCTTTTCAATTATCCATAAAATATTAAGATTTGCATGGTGCAGTGATTGGGGGTAGAAGGAGACAAGGAGGTGGCAACACTGAGATTTAAATCTGATAATTGTTTAAAAGATACCAAGGCCCAAAAGAACACACCAACAATCATATCAAACATTGTGCGGTATCCCATGCTCAAAGTATTGTTTCAGAACTGTTGTGGTAAGGAACCTACCATCATGTTGAAGTCTGGAAGAGAGATCCATATACATGTGTACATGAGAAATAAAGGGAAAAATAGGTCTAACAAGTGGTTAGGGGTCCATTGGGGTAGGCATCTGTGGAGACTGAAGATGTTTCAATAGGAAGTTAGGGACAAGGAGTTCCTTTTTCATTAATATATTGCATGATATGCATCTGTTTTACATATTCTTGTATGTTTTTATAAGGTTTTAAATTTTATAGTTTAAACTTTAAAACAATACCAAAGCAAGACAAAAAAGAAATTGTCTAGATGTAGAAATTCAATTGCCTATTGCATGCATACGAGATATATATAAAATACCATAGTGAAGGCCATAAACAAATTAAAAAGGGGGGATTTGATGTGACTAAAAAGAAAAAATGAGGTTGAGAGTTACACACACACACACATATATATAGAGAGAGAGATGTGTTTGATGAAATAAAAACAAACAAGGAATCTCCATTGCTGATTGGAAAAACTCATTCCATTAAAAATAAAGGCAAGAGTATTACCAAACAGAAAATAAAAAAGAAATAAAAAGACAAGGGAACAGAACCAATATGGTCACTATTCTCTTGCAGGTATAGGGGCCAGAAACAAGAATGAGTTTAGTTTAGAAGCAAGATTGTCACAATTCCTAATTATATTATGACTTGTGTCAGAATGGGTAAGGTTGAGAAGGAATATCAAAGGCTAGTTTAGTTACTCATATACTGAAGAGAAGATGACATACATGTAGTTATGCTGTGTTTGTTTCATTGTTCAATGCAATTATCAGATATTTTCTGATTTTCAGTTCTTATAATTAGAGTAAGAAACATGACCATGTGTTGGTAGGTGTTACCAACCTCATTCCTTAATCAAGCAAGATAGTTCCCATTCAATGATATTAGAGTATTAATATATTACCTATTCATAAGCATCCGCATATGCAGAGAGATGTCAGGATTCTCCTCACCACCAATAACCCAATTGACTGCTGCTTCAACATCCTTTGAAGGGAAAATGAGAACTCTCATGAGCTCTCCAAATACATTTGGCTGAGATCCCAGAACTTGTGGGTCACCAAATAAATCAAAAGCAGCAATCCTCATTTGAGAGTGTATATTCTTCAAGAAAAATTGAGCTGCCATGGCATCTGTAGTTCCTTGAAACCTAAAACATAACATTCACGGACATTATTTGATGCTTGCAAGACTGATAAGTAGGAAAACCATGTCATTTTACCATATGATAGGTTGCTTCCATTCCTTCCAATTGCTACAGAGAACATTTGTTTGAGCTGGCTTTTCAAAATCATCAGTCCTCATAACTAGTTGCCTACCATATTTGCTTTCACAACCATTTTGTCTCCACAGATGTTTTACTTCTTTCATGGTAAAGGTAAAGTTGGAATAAGAAATGTAATCCCCGAAAGGATATTTGCCTCTGAAATATAGAACCAAGGTGGTAATCAGATAGTGGAAAAATAAATATAGACACTACATTGCAAGATCAAAGCAGTTTCGCAAAAGTACACAAATATAGGTTGCAATTCAAATATTGCAAAATATTTTTTGAACAAGATGATAGGGTATATTTAGAAAGTTAATATATATTTATATAAGAAAAATAGGAAGTAGATGCTCTAAGGGTAATTTTGGTATCTTCTAAAAATTGAGAGTGAATAATTCAGATATTAGTTTTCAATAGAAATTTTCATGCAGAACTAATTCCTGAATTTCACACCCTATTTTTAAAGAGATACCACCAAAACCTAAAGAAACACTAATTAGAATTTCAGTCGTCCAAAAAGAGAAAACTTAGTGCAATAGTTAGTTCTTAAAAGTGAATAGGAAAGGCTTGGGAAAAAACCAATATGCCTGGTTTGGCCAATGATCAAGGACCGGTTTAACATTATACTCAGTGCTGCAGCAGTTAAGACCTTGTACATTTCGTTCCCAAAACCTGCCTCGGCAGTCTTTCCCAGAACAAATCCATGACTACAGAACTGTTCCGGCGGCAAATCCCTGATTCTGGAAGCACCTGAAACAAAAGTTTTCAATTTTATTTTCTGAGTCAAAAACTATTTCTGCAAAACACATGGTTCCCAGTCACCCTTATGTCATGAATTTCACCGAGAGGTGCACAATTATGACTTTGATTGAAGAATTTTTCAGAAAAAAACATTAAGTAAAATAGAATAGTGAAAAATTAGCTTAGATAATTACTAGTCATGATCCATGAACTAACAAGAAAGAAGCAATTGCCTTGAGAGAGAAATAGAAGTATAATAATTATGTGATCCGATAATGACATACTACAATCACAAACTACTCAGTATCAAAACTCTGGATAATTTGTCGTCAAACAAGAGACCATTTCTTAAACAAGTTATGTTAATTTGAAGGCATCCTTTAAGACCGCGCTTAGAAATTTGACACCTACAAGGAAAAAAAAAATACAGAAACTTGGACACAGCACGACCAACAAGCTCGTGTGTTATACATTAAAGTCCTTCATGCTTCAAAAAGAAACTCGAGAACAGTCACTGCGCGATTCTCATGCCAGCAAAGAACAGGTAACGCAGAAATAGTAAATCAAAAACAGAATTAGTAACTACCATTGAGAACAAAGTGAGTCTCGATCATTCTCTTAACTCTCAAGGTTTCCTTCCCGACAACACCTGTTTCGAAATCCTTCCCCATCTCTTCCACCGTCGCGCACGGTTTCTCTACAATGATACCCGCGTTCTCGCCGCCGCCATCCAAGCTCGAGCTGTTTGAATCTCCTAACTCGAAATCTCTCGCGAAATCGACCGTGATAGGAGGATCCAATGGCCTCAGCGCCAGCATCAACAGCCCCAAACCAGTCACCATCGCACACAAAACCAGAAACGGTTGCAATAGCACTCGCCTCCTTCTACCTCCGCCATATCTCATCTCTCTCCCTCTCTTTCTTTTTCTCACTTCAAATATTTCCCTTGGTTTTTAACTGTCAACTTCGGCTAAGCTCAGCTTCCTGTTAAGCCGGATCTGATTCTGAAGTGTTTTCTCTATCTCTCTTCTCCCACGCTTGGTTTAGCATCACGTGTAGCACTCATATTTCTCGGGTTTAGATCGGACCCGAAATCCGTCTTATTCTGAATATCCGAACCCGTTTGGCTGAGTGGCGCGCATTACGCACTGTCTCCGACAAACAGGGCAATAATGAAAGCGCAAAAGTTGTTCTCTCTCTTCGTCTTACTATCCATCGCTTTCAATCAATAAATCTTAGTTAGTGGGAAGCACACCCGAAACGACGTCGGAGAAAAAAAAGAAAAAAATAAACGTCAACGCTCAACCACTCAACCCTCTATATGGAGAGAAGAGAAGAGGACAGAAAAAAAAAATATTTTTAATAAAAAGAAAGACAACAAATCGATGTCTCTCCTCAGTCTTCGCATTTGTCATTTAGAAACGCTTCTCTTTTTTCTTTCTCCCTGCAGGGAAACATAACCGTCTTAACAACCATCATGGACAAGAACCTTGCCGAAAATTCCGGCAGTTTCGTTCACAGAGACGAACCAAAGAATGCCGGTGACACGCCGCATTCTCCGCCAAAAGCGGATCCCAAACCTGACGGCGACACCGCCAAAGCGGAACCCCCGGCTCCGACGGTGCATCATGGAGGAAACAGGGAGGAGAAAGAAGAGGCTGTGGAGTGTCCTCTCCCGAGCCTCGAGAAGGTTTCAGAAGACATTGACCAATTGCTCGTGACTTTGCAGTGGAACCACGACGATGATAAAGATAGCAACAAAGGAAATGCAGAGAGGAACATTGAGATCCCTGGTTTCGTGGAGAGGTACTTGGATCTGGTGGAGGAGAAGATAGTGAAATATGACACAGGAGAAGGCAAAGCCAAATGGGTAGAAGTTGTGGAGGAAGATTCGTGGTTGCTGGAAACCGTGCATCGGATTTCCAAGTTGATGAATTTGCTGACTCATCATAACGAACCGAAAGAAGGAAACAATGGTCAAAGAGACTCGCTGGTGAACCGTATTGGCTCCATTCAACAGCGTGCGATGTCGTATTTGGAGGAGGACTTCCGTCTGTTAATGGAAGAATCTAGAAACCCAACAGAATTAGATCCCGGCGGAAACAATCAGAATAACAACAACGACTCCAAAGGGAAACAAGTAGCATCAGAACAACAAGACGTGCAGGATCACGATCATCAACAACCAGAATCCGAAACCACTTTCCCGGGTTACCCGGAGGAGGCCATCGCCAGCCTGAGAAAAATCGCCGCCGAGATGTTATCCGGCGGCTACGAATCGGAGTGCTGCCAGGTCTACATTATATCCAGAAGGAACGCGTTCGAAGAGATCCTCCAGAAGCTAGGATTGGAGAGGATCAGCATCGATGAAATGGTCCAGAAGGTGCAATGGGAGACCCTGGCCAGAGACATGATCCCCGCCTGGATCAACACGTTCAAGCAATGCGCCGCCGTATACTTCCCCGGCGAGCGGAGGCTGGCGGAGACCGTGTTCGCTGATAACCCCTCGGTAGCCGCAGGGCTCTACAGCAGCCTCTCCCGCGGCGTTGTCATTCAGCTTCTCAACTTCGCTGAGGGCGGAGCTATGACAAAGCGCGCCGGAGAGAAGCTTTTCAAGCTCCTGGACATGTACGAGACCCTCAGGGACGTGATCCCGAAGCTCGACGGGCTATTCCCAGAAGAATCAGTGGAGGAGCTGAAGACGGAAATGAACCTGGCCAAGTTACGACTTGGGGAGGCCGCCATCTCCATCTTCTGCGACCTAGAGAACTCAATTAAATCCGAGACAGCTAAAACTGCGGTCCCAGGCGGAGCAGTGCACCCGCTCACACGCTACATTATGAACTACCTCAACATAGCAGGGGACTATAAAGAAACATTGGAGCAAGTTTTTAAGGAGTACTCAAAGATCGAGCGCGCCGACTCAACGAGCAATGCGCGGCACGAAAACGGCGGCGTTTGGGATAAGGGAGCATCTTCGCCGTTCACGGCACAGGTGATGAGGGTGATGGAGTTGCTGGACGCGAGCCTAGATGGAAAGGCTCGGTTATACAGGGACGTGTCGCTGAGCAATTTCTTCATGATGAACAACGGAAGGTACATTCTGCAGAAGATAAAGGGGTCGCACGAGATGAGCCAAGTGATGGGTGACACGTGGTGCAGGAAGAAGTCTTCTGAGTTAAGAACTTACCATAAGAACTATCAGAGGGAAACTTGGAACAGGGTGCTGGCGTGTCTGAACCAAGAAGGGTTGAACGTGAATGGGAAGGTGTATAAGCCTGCGCTGAAGGAGAGGTTCAAGAGCTTCAATGCAATGTTCGATGAGATTCACAGGACGCAGAGCACGTGGGTGGTGAAGGACGAACAGCTTCAATCGGAGCTTAGGGTTTCCGTTTCGTCAGTGGTGATTCCGGCTTACAGGTCCTTCATTGGTAGGTTCTCGCAGTATTTGGACCCCGGAAGACAGACAGAGAAGTATATAAAATACCAAGCAGAAGACATAGAGACTTATATTGATGAGTTGTTTGACGGGAAGCCTCACCAGTCCATTGCTAGAAGGAAAACATAATTAACTTCCAATTCCATCACCAGTACATATTATTTTATTTTGTATTAATGTTTTATATACATATATTTTAATTTTACGGGGAATCAAAAATAAAAATTGAATACACCAACACTAGACCGAGGAGGTGCACGATGTGATGATGGCGCAAAGGAAAGATGCAATGCAATGCCCGTAGCTAGCTAGGCCTGCATGCATGTTGCAATTAATTACATCGTTTTCATTATTGCGTTATTGTTAGGAGATACGAGTAAAGGTTGATCTTGTCAAAATTAATTTCTTACTTTTGTAATTTGTTTGTACACAGGATAAATCATATCAAGTTATTTGTTCAATTTAGATTCAGCAGCACTTTGAAACCTTCTTTGTTATTCGTGATTTTTTGTTATTTCAGTTTCTATATATGCTTCTTCTTCTTTTTGTCGATGTGTTTTTGTGCTTACGATTTACGGAATGATATTACGAAAGGATAAATATATATACATATATACTGTGTTAAAAAAATAATTATTTTTTCTCGAATCCGAATTTTGAAAGGAAAGTTTTAAACAAGATTGTGGAGAATATTAAAAAAATAGAATATTTAATATATACTTTTCTTTAAAATATCATTCATTTTTTACACTTGAATATAAATTATATAAACATGTGTACTATTCAGTTTAAACATATAACATTAATTTTTTTAAAAAATATATAATAAATATTTTTATTAAACTATAAATTTAATTCCTATAATTAATACTCATTTAGAAAATAATTTTCATATTTAAAAATATTACATTTTAGTGTCTATATAAACATTTTATTATATTTTAATCTCAAGCGTTATAACATTGTTAATAATAGAAGAGATCAAAATATAACAAAATAGTCATATAAGAATTAAAACAATTTTTTTAAACACATAAACTAATTTATAAATAAATATCAACTATTAAAGATAAATAGATTTATACTTTTTAAAAGAATACAACATACTGCATTTATAAATCTATATTGTAACTCAATTTTGTCTTTAAATACACTTAATTTTTAACTAATAAAAAATTTTATTCTACTTTATATTTATGGCTTTTATCTTACCTTTAGAGGAATGAGTAAAGTATGGCATTAACATTCTTAATATAAATTTCTAATGCGTAATATTGATTTATATATGGTATATTTTTAGACATGGTATATAAATGTTTACTAGTTCTTACATGTTATAAACTCATAGAAATTAAAACATGAGTTTTTTAAATACATAAATTTATTCGTTTATGAGTGTTAATTACACTGAACTAAGTATATTTTAAATGTTTTTAAATAAAAACTTACACACATATATACATACAATTATTTTTTATATATGATAAGAAATTAATAAAAAATAAATTTTTATTTAAAATTGTAATATTTAATAAAATCCATACATGGAATTCTAGAGTTTTTATTTTTTATGACATATTTTATATTTAAATTTTGTTAGCGAGTTAATAAACTAAAATATATAGAAAAATTATGTAAAAGATTGTGATTTTAAATGAATAAACATCTTAAACTTTTGTTGGTTATAAATAATTATGATTCTAAGAATTTTTTTATGTAAACCGTTAAAAAGACGTTTAACTTAATAGAAAATGGCTGAAAAATAAAATAAAAATTTGTTATTTATAAAAAACGATTTTTCCTTTTGCACAATTTAATGTAAAACAAATATTTCATGACTAATGAGATTTTAGAGCATTGGAAAAATATTATTAAATTAAAATAATTTGTTAAATAAAAATTAAGATATATTATTTTTATTTATAATAAATATTTTTATTATATTAAATAAGACTAAATTAAACCACTTAAGCATATAAGTAAACTAGTAAAGGGTTCTTTCGATTTAACATGTGATCTCAACTTTGAGCACAATTGTGTTAAAGAATTGGAGGGAGAGTTTTACCACCTACAATGATTTCTAATTGACTTGGACATAATTGCTTCTAAAATTAAAAAAATAAATACTTAATAAACAAATACGTGAAATCAACTCCTAAAAATGCTTTAAATACCAAGTAATGAAATATATATATGGATATGAATTCTCTCCCGTTTGCATAGAAACTAGATGTTAAGTTCTTTTTGTTTAAGCAGATTTTGGTCCACTTAGATAGAATGTTCAATTTTTGCTTAAACGCAAAAAAAGTTTGACTTAAGCGATTAGTCACGTTAACTTAAGTGAATATAGAATAATAGTGACCATCGCTTAAGTAAGAAAAAATATGCTTAAGCAAAAACAAATTACATAAGCGAGTATTAAAACTACTAAGCAAAAATTGAATATAGAGCACCATATTTTAAACATCTCCATTGTCTTAAGCGAAACACCTTTCACTTAAGTGAACTTCACTTAAGTGAATTATAAATTTTTTAAGCGTGTTTGGTGACCTACCTCCTAACTCGCTTTAAGCAAAATGATATTTGCTTAAAAAATGAATTTGCACGAAAGTGAATTTGCCATTGATGTGCATTAAAGGAGAGATTCCAAAAACTCAACAATTACTAATATTGAAAACTTACCCACTAACAATAGTTATACACTTCAACTCAACAATTACTCTCTATTACTTGTATTTGCAAGTTCAATCATTTCTTTCATCTCTTCAACTTTCCTTCTTTAGGTACGTTCTCCTTCATCTCTTCAGCATATGTCCTTTCAAGTATTCTATGGGTTAGATATTTATTGAGCTAGTTAGAATTTGGATTTTAATGGTTAGAGTTTTAGGTTTATTATAAAACTAGTTAGACTTCGGGTTGTAATTGTTAGAGTTAGAGTTTTAAAGTATTTATTTGTGATCAAGTGCATTTGTGAATAGTTTGATTTTTACATTTTTGTAAAATTTGGATGAAGCGCATAACATTCAATTAAGCGAAGAAATTTGTCTAAAGTGATTTATCTTGGCTTAAGCAAATTTGTTTGACTTAAGTGAATTTTCATTGTTGTTGACGCATTTTACTTAATCCTATTATTGTAATTTTGCAGAGATGACACCAAAGAAGACTATTCCCCAAAGGAAGAGACAACATCCAAAAGTAGGATTAGGCACACACAAGAATATGAGGATATACCTACTCAAAAGTAGTCCTTTTCTACACAAACAATAGTCAGTCTCATTCGCACTCCTCTGTTGGTTTTGACAAATTCAAATTCAGAAACCAAGCCAAATATGAAAGGTTATTGGAATTAAACTTAAGGGAATTATTGCTAGAAAGAAATGTGTGCTTAGAAGAAGAAGGACAATTTACTGAGTTTACAAATGAAATTAACAAGAGGATATGACATTTCTTTGCAAACCTCTTAAATAAGATTTATGAAGAAATAGTAAAAAAAATTTATATCAACGCATGACGCTTGCAACCAAGTCAGATGAAGAAGAAGTATTGGGTTTGTAAGTGCACAGTCTCATATGATAGGATGCAATTAACACATTGCTAAGAAATCTCCACACCTTATAAGAAGGGAAGTTATGCCATCACTAGCATAAGAGAAGAGGTGTTACTAGATTTTTAGATGGCAATATAGTTGAGACAATAGGTATTCCAAATAGATCATATGAGCCAAATAATCAAGGTAAGCCAATGAGGTTTAAGAGAGGGAACCACTCACACATCATACGTGCATATGCCTTAGGCTTACCTCATCTACAACATCATGGAGACGATAAGAGTGTGCATTGCAATGGTGATATATAAGAAGATTTACTAGTTTATGATGCTGAACCTTTCCCGTTCTATAGTTGCCACAAAACCCTTAGAATTCCTAGCATTAGTCACTGCTTTTTGTATTGTCCAAGGTGTTCAAATACTATACCTTTTAAAATCAAGTATCAAATCGAAAAAGTTTATCAATGTTCAGTTCATCAACGATTATTGCATCAACCAATTAAAGTAAAGACATGCACCATTTCAGCCTTCTTCATCAACACCACCACCTATCCCCAACATGACACTCATGGAGTGTCACTTTATACAACATCTAACTCAAATATTACTATGGAGGCCAATCATCAAGCTTATATACACATCCTCCACCAGCCAGTGGTGAATCATCAAGCATACACACACCTTAATGAATCATTCTATTGCTTTACCCTACACCAACATCAAGGAAACACTTCAACATTCTTATGGTTTACACCTGAAGAACTGCACCATATGTCTCATAGCTTGGAGGCACTTCTCCAGTTCCAAATAACTCCAACTGATATAAAGAGGATGCAGGACATGAAAAGGAGAAAGGCAACAATAGGTTGATGATGGAGGCCATATTGATCAAGGGATCACAAAAGATGCTTAAGAGGATCAAGTTGAAAAGGATCATGGTCATGAATAGTAACATACTATGGAGGGAAAAGACCATATAAGAAAGATCAACCTTTATATGATGATGTTGTTGCACAAGAACCATGACTTTAGTTTTATTTACTTTTTTCCTTATTTCATTTCAAATTTTAGTTTATGTTTAATTTAGTTTCATTTATTTGAAGGACATCTCACCATTAAAATTTGATTACGAAACTTATATATATAATATAAATATCTTATTCTCTTTTAAATTTTGTTGTATTTACTTATTTTTATATTAGATGGCAAATTTTTGCTATTTTTTTTCAATTCCTGCAATATTTGGTTAAGTAGACCAAAATTTGTTTAAGTGCACACAATTTGCTTTAGTTGTTTTCCTTTCAATGAAAATCTCTAAAATATGGTGCTCTTTGTCTAGTTTTCTCTTAAGCTACTTTCCATTTGCTTAAGCTATTTAAGCGAATGAGGATCTCTGAAATATGGTGCTCACTATCCAATTTTCACTTAAGAAATTCACAAATCGCTTAAGCGAGACCTGATCTAGAGAGCTCCCATTGTTTTCTATGCCTTCTCTCTTTAGCGAGATACCTTCTTGCCTAGACGAGAGGACAATTGGGGCAATATTATTCATTCTCACCTGGATTAGACTGATCTTTCTTGAG